ATCTGTGTCCGACTGTGGATAAACTTTGCTTTATCTTGTTTTTATTCTACTTTGCTAACTCGTTTACATTATTTTCGAGGGGAAATTATTTTTTCAGTTCGGTAAACTGGGGGCACAGTTGGTGAAATTAATTGGCAAGTGTGAAATGTGTGAAAACAGGTTACTGATGTGATTTGAAATTGCAGAATATCAAATAAATTGTAAATTGTAAGATAATTGCACGAAATCGTTAACTGAATATCTGCAGATTGCAAAAAGGCTTGTAAATAGGAAAATTCAAACTAACAGTTGTAAATGATGAAACTGCAAATCCTGAAAGTTGAAACCAGCCAATTCGGGAATCATCGGATGAGAGAAATTGTAAACTGTAAGAGAGAGTCTCAAGTTGAAGAATTACATAATTCTGCCAAAAAAATTACAAATTTGGAACTGCAAATTCCAAATCAAATCGAATTTGTGATTCTCCTAAATCAAATCCAAGCTCGCCTCACACGAGTCCAGCAGATTTTCACAAATGATCCATCGAAACCGAGCGAAATATGCCCGACTAATCACGGTCATTTCCACTTGAAAATGATGGAAAGTACGCGTTGCCTTTCGGTGGACCGACTCAATTAGTATAATTACTCGATCGTGAACTTTCGGGCGCAGTGCGAACGAAGTGCAGAAAACATGCACAAGGGAGTATCGATGAAGATTAATGAAACTGTGATTATGACACGTTGGAAAATAACATTCCCGCGCAACTTCAACCTCGCTTTCAACTTTCGTCAAAGAACTCGCCACCGCTTGGAATTAATCTGGCCCGAAGGCAGACGAGTTATTCTGTTTCAGCTCTGTCGCCGGTTAAATTAATATTCCGCGTGAGTTTCTCACTTTTCGTTCGCCGAGTCAAAATACAGGCAACGGGCCGTGGAAAATAAATGACGAGCACCGTGGAAAATATCCGAGGGTTTTCGAGAAGTTTTGGATTGTAAGCCGGAGTTTCGATCAGAATTGGATTACTTTAATCAGCAAGGTAGGTGTGTTGGATTAGATCGGAGCCCGGCGTAGCTCCGGCGAAATTTAGATTGTGTTCTCCAGATTAAGATTAATTTAAAATTATAAGTAGACGAGCTTTGGGATAATGTTTTAAACTGAGTCAAGGCTTCGAAGCAAGATTTGAATATCAGTTTTAAAACAGATGTGCTTTGTTGGTTCAGCTTCTTGATTCTAGAATTCAATTCAACTTTTATTATTATTTATTCAATAATTCAAAATCATTTCGTATTATATACGAAATCTATAAAAATTAATCTGTCAACTCTGCTGCGATCCTTGAGCTTTTAGCAACTTAGCAAAGGTTTTATATTTCAAAAGAATGTTTAACGATAAATCATATATTTTATTAAGAAAATTCTTTTCAGATTTCGTTTAAATTCGAAATACTTTTGAATTTTTGTAACGTAAGTGAAAAGTCAAAAATAATCGAAAGAACATAGCAGAGTTAAAGGAAAATTATAAATATTTTTCGTGAATCGTGGAAAATTTACCTTAATAATATAATCAACACTTCAATCGCTGAAAATTCACCTAAGTCAAAGAAACCTAAATCATTAAGATTTTTCTGAGCAACGGAAAATTATTTTCATTATGGAAAATTTATCCCAATACCACAATAACTTTTCCCTGAATCATACAAAAATTCTGACTAAATACTCATTTCGATTTCCTAAGTTATCAAATTTTTCCGAATCATAGAAAAATTCTCTTTTACCACTAGATAAATCCGTCTCAATTGCACGAGCAATATAGAAATCACAGAGAATTCAGCCGAGTCAAAGAAAAGTCATCTCGAATCACAAAAATTTTTTTGAGTAACGGAAAATTCTTCCCATTATGAAAAATTTATTCCAATACCACAATAAATTGTCCCTGAATCGTACAAAAATTCCGACTAAATAATTATTTCTTAAGTTATCAAATTTATCCGAATCATAGAAAAATTCTCTTTTACCACTAGACAAATTCTCAGTTGTACGAGCAATATAGAAATCACAGAGAATTCAGCCGAGTCAAAGAAAAGTCATCTCGAATCACAAAAATTTTTTTGAGTAACGGAAAATTCTTCTCATTACGAAAAATTTATCCCAATACCACAATAAATTGTTCCTGAATCGTACAAAAATTCCGACTAAATAATCATTTCGATTTCTGAAATTATCAAATTTTTCCGAATTATAGAAAATTCTTTTTTACCACTAGACAAATTCGTCTGAATTGCACGAGCAACACAGAAACCACAGAGAATTCAGCCGAGTCAAAGAAAAGTCATCTTGAGTCACAAAGATTTCCCCGAGTCATGGAAAATTGTTCCGACCGTTACGACATTTCCCTGGATCATGGAGAAGTTATTAATACCCGCTAGCTGTATATTAAACTTCCACTTCGAGGGAAACTGTCCCTTTAGCCCGACAAGTTTCACCAATATCTCGTCAACCATGTACTTTTCTCTGTTGTCGGAGTTAACACAGTTAACCAGGGCCCCCCCGGAACTTCCTGTTAAACTTGCTACATGGGGTCTGCTGTTAAACTTTCTCTTTCTTCGTCTACTGGCGCGCTCGCCATTACGTCCACTTCGTGTTTCCGGCATTCTAATGTTATTTAGCCGAAGTTGCCGCTTAATCGACGTGTAACTTCGTCGCAAGTTCCAAGTTATAATTAACGGAAGTCGACTCATTGTCAGCCGGCTAATGTACAGGCTTCGCTTACTCCGTGAGATCGGCGCACATAATTAGAAATTCCTCTAGCATGCTCCAAATTTTCTCTCTCTCTCTCTCTTTGTTTTACTCTCTGATTACGTCTCTATTCAATTTCGTCACGTGTAACTGACAATGTTTTATAACATTTCGATATTCCATAACATTAATTAACTCTCGTCCATTCTTGTCATGTAATTTCGAGAGCTTAAATGTTGAATGGTACAGAGAGACGTGCATTTTTAACGAAGGAGAGAAATACGTGGACATAATAGAATTTGAATTTTTCATTCTCATTGTTTAATTGCAAGTTTCGCTGAACGATGCAGCCAATTTCAATTACGGCAGTAATAATGGCGATTTTATTCAGATGTTTCTCTCGCTTCGAATAACTTTTCCCTCTGCTTGGATCAAACTATCACAACTCAAGTAAATTTCCCTCTGACTCGAATAAGTTTTTCTCGTGACTTAGAGCTATCGTGATTCAAGTAAAATTTTTTCTATGACTGAAATGAATTTCTTTAAATAAATTTTCTACGAGTCAAATTTCCACAATTCTAGTAAATTTTTCTGCGACTCAAATAAAGTTTCCACAATTCTAATTAATTTTCCTACGAGTCAAAATAAAAATTCCACAACTCCAGCCAATTTTCATGTGACTAAGACGAGTTTTTCTATGATTCAGATAAAGTTTCCATTACTCCAATGAATTTTCCATCACTCGAACGAAATTTCCACGGTTGAAATAAATTTCCCTTTGACTCAAGTAGAATTTCCAAGAATCACCAAAAGTCTCATATATCTTCACATCTTCCATTTCACGAAACTCTTTCACCAAACAGCGAAACACATCGAAACGCGCCTTTCTCGTTCCCCCTCCCCTCTGGCCGTCAAGCAGATCAATGTTTCACGATGGAAGAAAGGTTTATCACTCGGTTGGATGGCGACGAATACAAGCGGAGAGAGGAGGGAGAGAAAGAATCACGCTCACTTGGCCGAGCTTTGTTCGCGTAAAACGAAGTACGGTCCAAATGGCTTACGAATTCCAGGGAGCTGAACATTTTTTCTCTGCCCTACGAGAGCGAGAGACGGTGGTTAGGAGATGAAAGTCGCGGCAATCTTTGCCCCGGAATCTCCACGTTCGACGGAAATCCTGTAACTGTTCTCGAAACCAGCGATCTCCTGGGAGGGATCTCCCGCAAAAAAGAAAAAAAGAGAAAGAAAGGAGTGAACGATGACACGTTAGAGGCTGGCCGAGGACGAAGCGACCGCTGAAAACTATTGACCTCGTTTTTTTTCGCGTTTCAACCTGGCTGACCAGAGGGGGTTAGAGGGCTGATCGGTGGAAATCTATCGAACGCGGGCAGCCAAGGGTGAGCCTTCAAGAAGAATGGAGATAGGACGGCGCACTTTTAGCCGTGGGATTCGATTCTCTCGAAATCGGGGGGAGGAGATTCTCTCGAGCTTGGTGGAAAATTGGTTGGACGCTGTGAGCCGTGGCATCGGGCGAGAAGAAAGTTTTCTGACGTGCGACGCCGAGATTTGAGCGAGCGTAGTTGAGAGCGGAGGAAATTTTCTTTGACTCGCGGGAAAAAATCGAATTTAGACAGAAAAGTTGTCGAACATTTGTTGGGACTCGAGGAAAGCAGGCTTCGTAATTTTGAACGTCGGATTATGTATAGAATATTTGAAGTATGCCGTGGAAAGATTATTCCGAGTTAAGGAAAATCGTCTAAACTCACGGAGAGGAGTATCGGGTAGAGGAAAATTAATAAATTTACGTCATAAAAATTGTTTAAGCTCTTGGAAAATTACTTTTAATCTCTAGGGCGAGGAAAAATTGTTTAAATTCGTGGGAAAATCGTTTGGAACAGAGGAAAATTGTTACGAGTCATGGAAAATCACTTACACTGAAAATAAGTTTTTTCGTACGAGTCACGAAAAATTGTTCAAATGAATGGAAAATTAATAAAATCATTAATAAGTTATTTTGAAAGCAAAGGAATATTAACAAATTCAAGTCAAAGATACTGTTAGAGCCGACGGAAAATTATTTAGAAGAATTTCCCTGACAATCCGCCTCATTCAAACTAGAATATTAAACTTGCGTAAAATCACAGATCAAGATTCACTAATTCCCTGGATTGCCGGCTTTCGAAGCCGAATTCAAATAAAACTGGCCAGACAACTCTGCATCCCGCAGAACATGTAACATTTGAAAACACGCCGGCAGTTACTTAGGGATCCAGTAACGGAATTAAAACGTATAACCGTGTAAATTTTCCGCACGCCTGTCGAGCGTGCATATTCATTGAATCCCACTGTTTCACCGAGCGGCGGATTCACCATTTGCAGAGCAAACATCACTCCTCGGATCTCTTAGCGCGGCGCGTAACGTAGAATTAAGCAGCGTCGTTCTTACTCACCGCCAGGTCTTCAGCATGAGAGCGCCGTAAGTGAGGGAAAATCCAATCTCCCTCAGCCACACACGCACCGTGCAGGTTATGACGTTCGGACGGGGGTACATCACTATCGTCTGGAACAAAGAAATTGATTTCCATTTGCAGTGATTCAACGTTCCCCTCAAAGAAAACTCCACGATTCCTTCTCGAATCTATTCCTTTCTTCCATCTTGTAAATTGAATTTCCTCTCTGCACTGATACAAAGGATATGAAAATGTTTTTCATTTATGGAAGAACCGGCAGATTGAAACTGGTTGTAGGTTTTCTTCTCTGCAGTCATTTATTATATCGTTTCTTATTTTGTTCCCAATAGTGCGCTTCTGATGTGACATTTGCTTCATGAACCTGGCATATGCGTCACGGACGGTACGATAGAAAATCTCTATTGCGAATCGTTAGATACGTGCGTATGCATCATTCGGCACAAAACAGGAAATCCCCTTGTCGCAACGTATAATAGGGAATTCCCGTAAGTCACCAGACATGGACCAGGAAACCCCAATGACGTTCGTCTGTGCACACAGGAAATCTCTATGATATGTACGCATAGTCAGACACAGCTGCCATGATGCTTACGTGATATAAAATATCTCTAACATGTGATAATAATTGCATAATGCAACATACAATAGTATCTAACGAATATATATATTTATTATACATAAGTATATGAATATATATAATATAAACATAATATGTGTATGTACATATTAAATATTATGTACTATATATATAATGTTACACGAGAATTTATTAATAATATTCTGACGAATATTTATATATTTTAATATCACGCGTGTAAATTTCACAAATTAAAATTCAACAAAACATTTACAATTCAGACAACACGTGAAACATGGCTTTAAGCATTTAAACCATCAATGTCAAATAAAAGCATGTTTGATAGCTTCCTGAAGGAAGTAAAGGAATTAGAAAATTGCTCGCGATTCGACGTTCTAAAATTACGGTTAACCTTGGTAATTTGAAGTTTCGCATAATTGAACGAACGAAGGATACCCCCAATTCTTTGCATTCTTTTTTCGCCCGACTCCCAGGGGGATTTCTTTCTCGTCTAGCCGATAGCATCGCATGAGGATAATTGCTAATAGAGAGAATACTTTTCACAGAGGGAAACGCGAAATCGCGTGCCGTGTCACGCTACGACTTAGGTTAGCGTCGAGCGGCGCTAGTATCGCCCACGTCCCGCCATTTTCGTGTCACATGTCATCCGTTTCACGAACAAAACGCAAGTGTGCTAAAGGTTTCCGAACGAACTTATCAATTGTGTAGCAATGGCTCGAAGCACGAGAACTTAAAGCACGGCTCTGAAATTATGCGATCCATCGATGGCAATTTATCCGTATTTATTAAAAGGGACAAAACGACTTTATCCATAATCATTATTCTCGTTTTATATATTTTGCTCCTGCTTTGGGGAAGGAATTTTGTTTGATTTTTCGATTCGATTCAATTTTAAATGTTGAGTAGATTTAGGTTAGGCTCTTTTTCATATACTTTAATCCTTTATCTTTAACTCTGGCGTTGAGTGTCAGTTTTCTTTCAAATTTTGGTAGAAATTGGGAACTCAATTAGGTTGAAGTTTGATTCTAGTGAAATTTATGAGGTTACGTTTCACGTGATAGCCCTCACGTTTGGTTTAAATCAGGTTCGAAATAGATACATCATTCAGTTACATCAGATTTCAATTAGATTTCGGTCGAGTGAAATTTCAATTAGATTTCGGTCAGAAATTTTGGTTCGGCTGAGGGTCAATTTCGGTCAAGTTTGGATTAGGTTTCTGTTAATTTCAGGCACGATGTAATTTCGTTTCGGTTCATATCGGACACACAGGTTGGGATTAAATATTTTTCCCTTGGACGTTCGGAACGATAATCTAGGATGAAATGTCGTAGTTTCCCTTGGACATAATGTTACAGGAAATTTCGTTTCTATTTAAAAAATAGTACACACGTATTTCTATGCTTCTCATAGGGTGAAGAAATAAAAACGTTGTGTTTATAATCTGAAGCTCAGCGTACGATAAAAACTTCACTGAAATTTCTGGGGAATATGCTACTTACCGTGCAGTATATGAAGAATGCTCCGAGCACAATGACGCGTAGAAGAACCGGGCTCGCAGCTCGTACCACCTGTAACAAAAAAAGAAAAAAAAAAAGAAATACAAAGTTAGTAAGAAATTAAATGCCAGCAGCACGCTTCTTACAACTATCCAAGTAGAATAATAATTTACTGTATTTCACACATCCGTGCTAAATAACAAATAAAATTAAATTTCACTCTATCGTTGCGAGATATACAAAGAGAATTTACAATAAAAAATGTTCCCACAAAGTATATAAAAATTAATTAGTAAAAGACGAAACAACCATCAGTGAAAGGCCACCGTACCAGGAATCTTCAAAATTCAAAACGTGACAAATCGTTGGGATATTTTTAGAAGACTTTGCAGAAGAATCCGACGTAAACTGAGAGCCACTGATGAACGAGCGATTTACTCTGAAAACTGGAGGGATAAAGCCAATGGAAGGAGATTTTTGAAGAATGGAGAGGATTTTTAATCGTCGCGAAGTTTCTCTATCAACTGCTCGTTACCCTTTATCTTTCTTTCCTACTCTCTCCTCTGTTCCGTGACACAGTTTACGCAAAGAAACAGGCACATTATCGAAGACTCGGAGAGATCTGGCTTCGTTAAAGCGGGAAATCGGGAGCTGGCGAATTGTATTCGACGAGAAATAACTACAGTCGGTCGTGAACTTTGCAGACAATGGAAACATTTCTCTCTGTTTCTTAACCCGGTGAAATTTCGGTGACTCGGACTTCCGTTTCGTTCCTTGCGAGTTCGCGTTGGTAAATGATTCCTCTTCCTCAAACATGAGACATAAGGGAAATAAAACGAAATACAAAAATGAAATAAAACATAAAACTTCTGTCAAAGAAACAAATTTGCAGGGGCTAAAGAAACTCTTGCACGAGCTTTTCTGGTGTTGTCAAATATCGATTAATCAGATAATCTGAAACGCTTAAAATGATTAATTTACTTTGAAAAGGAAAATTATATTAGAATGTGTTTAATGATTGTATCAAAGAATATTTGTTTTTACGTTTACAGATGGATGAATTTGATGTTGAACTTTTTAGACTTTTGATAATTATTTTTGATAATATTTATTTTGACGTTTACAGATGGATGAATTTAGCGTTGAACTTTTTAGACTTTTGATAATTTTAGGAAGGTTAAATCTGCAAATCTAGAAAATTATGGATTGGTCATTTTGATCGCCTCTGCTAATTTTATTACCAGTGCTGACTTTTTCTATTTTACACACTCGATTTTCTTCACTTTTTCGTTTGAATTTCCCTGAATGTTAAACGAGAAAGGAGAAAACGGAACATCTGGGTATTTAACATTCTATTATCTAACGCCTTGTTCAAATTTCAACTAAAATATCGATCGTTACGTACTATTATCATTAATCGTTAAACTTGAGATAAAAGTTAATATTCCAGTCCGATTTGAGATAATAATACACAAGCAACGTAATAACGATATGCAAATGATACAACAATGTTATATAAAATAACAGTATACAAATAACACGGCAATATCCAAATTTCAAAAACGAACCATTTGTACAATTACGTTTCCGATAATTATTTAAAAAAGCTACGATACTTCCAGTTATCGAGTAACGCGCAGAGAAACGGACCAGAAAGAACGTTCCGAGCTAAAATACCCGGTTTGATCGGTGCTTCGTAGAAACGTACGTTCGCCGAGAGGGGAATAAAAGGAAATAAAAATCACTCCGCACCCTGCCGGTATATTTCACGGTGGGTCTGGCTCGTAGCGTCTGACTACTGACACGCTCGTACTACTGCAACTGACGTGTAACTCCAGCGTTACGACGCTGCAGCTAATTTCTTTCGGAACCAGCCAGTCGATCTCGCCAATGGGGGGAGGCAACTTTGTCGAGCACGTCGTCGAAAGCTCGAAACATATCTCGCTCCTTGTGTGGCTCACAGGCTTAGAGGAAATGTTTTCAATTTGTTCAAAACAGGAGAGGAGTCCTGCGTATGAGTATTGGCCACGAGGCCGGTCAATATTATTCCTTGGAAATTCCAGACGGAAACGCTTCTGATACACTGGCCAAACGAATCCCCGGCGAGCTGCAAATATTTCCCAATCGTGGTCAATATTTAAACGCGCACGGCGCGGTACACTACACTGTACTCTACATGGTGTTCCCTCGGATCGACGTGAATTACACTGCATTTCATCGAGCCACTCGTCACCATAATGAGATACACCGGCCGATCGATCGACGAAAATCTCCTCTCTCTCTCTCT